GGACCGCTCCGTTGGTCTGCGTCTTGGCCCCCTGCCTGTGGCCCTGGTGTGCCGCACAGACCAGCGGTAGCCCCCGCAACAGGACCGGTTCCAGCTCGTGGTAAAGTTGTGCGTTTTCCCTCGGACACAGACAACAGGCTGCTGAGGCGCGAGATTAGGCACGAGCCGCGCACAAGCAAAAAATTATCCCCAAAAGTGCTGTTTTTCATCTCAAAAGATTTTCATCATTCAAGCCTCGGATTACTAAACATGTCGTGGAAACAAACGGCAACATTTCCACATATTCCACAGGCAGAAAAGAAAATGCAGCAGAGTGTGTAGGCAAGCCCTGCCTAGGTCGAAAAAGGTTAATGCGCATCAAACACATTCCAAAGCAGTGAAATCCACCTCTGGAAAAGTCTGATAGCTTAATGGAGTCAAAGGAAAATCATCCCATTATCATCCACAAGGCAGGGGCAAAGGCAGCTGTTTTTTTTTTTTTAAACGTTTCCCCCTTCTTAAAAAAACACCCAGAAAAACAAAAGACACCCAAGTAGAAGCTTTCCAGAGCGCACGCGCTGCTTGGCTCGAGTCAGCCTCTGTGCTGGTGAGACCACTGGCACCAGAGCGTGGTCTTTCTGCGCACATTCCAAGGAGATTTAACCCCATGTTTACCAAGTCTGGACTCCATATGGTATACACAAGGAACTGTACTCGAGGTATTTCCAGTGGTATAATGTAAACTACTAATGAAGCAAGGTTTTAGCCTCACTGTAAAACCACCAAAATACACTCAAAATCTCCTCCATGGGTTATTATGTGGATTCACCTCTTGAACTGGTCCAATGAGAGGAGTGTTATGCAGCTTAAAACGGTTCTGCATGAATGAGTTTTTCTTGTATGCTACAGTTTTCTGACACTAATCTCATTATTAGATATGGGCCTGCTAAATATTAGTAGCTGGGTGGCTAAAGGAGCAACCTTTTACTTCTTTGTTAAAAGGAAAGGTGTTAGGTCATAAATGTACATGCCAACACAGTGATTTAACTAAAGAGTGTTGTCTGCCTTCACCTCCGTTGTCCAGCAAATGAGATGTCAAAATATAGCATCACACTGACTTATGACTAAGAGTTTTGACTGCACTATACTGCCGTAACCTCCTTCACCACAGTGCTGAACGTCTACTCATGCAGACATAGTGGGATTCTGAATATCAACAAAGTATTTGTTTATGTATCTATACCGCGGGGCATGTGCTGCTAGGTGCACACTGTTGTTGACTGCACACTGTCAATCAAACCATTTTTAAACATTTTATTCTGCAGAAGCAGAAGCACTGTTCTTCTTTTTGCTGAAACACCCTTTAAATTCAGTAGATTTCAGCACCATGGACAGAGCGGCTTTTCC